GCGATACTTTTGTGAATTGATTTTTTTTTCTCCCACCCCTAAAATATACCGATATGGACAAAATTACGTTGTTTATTGTATTAAATTTTGATATTGATAAATTTCTAGTTCATCGCCCAGCCCTAGATGATATTGTCCTTGTAAACATGTCTGCAGATAAGGCGCGGTGCACTGATGTCAGTAATAGACGTGGATCTGTTGTTTTGTTTTAGTTTGATGCTGGCAGGCGAGTATCTGGGGCTCCAACAAACCCCTGATTCATCATGAGTAAATCTGCAGACTGCTTTCTTTATTTCTCTGCTAATCATTTAAAAAACAGGAAAATCTCTGCCAGAGTTTCACTCAAAGACGGCTCCTCTAAAAGTTTTTTTTTTTTTTCTTACATCCAACATGTGCAGAGATATAAACCAGAGAAAGCTGCAATCACATTTAGACCTTGTGCTTCAAACACACATTTTACAATTACAGCTGTTGATTCAATACCTGAGTGGATCACATATGAATCTCGGGGGTCTCTAACTGAGACGGTACCGGAGAGGTTTGATACAGTCTGTGGTACTAAGAACTTCATCATCTCTCATATTTATTTTCCCTTTTGCAGTAAAAACCAGTCAGGAGAGAAAGACTTTATGATTGTTTTGATTATTGACACGTTTCGGCCTGTTTTATGACCTGTTAAAAACTCTCCCACTGGAGCTTTAACTACTTATCCAAGCAATGACACAGCAGGTTTGATCTTGGTTTGTGGGATTGTTGCTCAGGCTCTTGTACAGCAGCTTATTGACTCAGTGGAAGTAAGTGGTAAAACATGCAATAATGAGTCGGCTCTTTTTTTACATAACGTCACTTTGAGAACAAAGATATGACATTCCTCCTGAGGACGAAAGAGAATTTATGGTGAGTAGATGAGAGTGGTGAGTGAGGAAACTTTTAAACAAACACAACCATGACTCAGAACAGCTGCCTGGATATGAAGGGAGGGACTAAATATCGATATGGGAACACGTCCTCGTCTGCAATTATCTCAGTGCTGTTTGTGACAAATGTGGTGACTTTCATTTTATAATACGGTTCTCTAAACAGGTTTCCCTGCTGATCTGACTCACAGCGACACAACTTCATGACTCCTCCTCACAGTAATGAGTGACATTAATCCTGTTCTACCTTTAAGGGGCATTTTCCACTCCCAAATCAATCAAATATCCCCTCTCTTCATGGGGAGGGGGTGTTGTTGAACTTTGGAAATGTGTTTCAGTGAGTTATCTATACTTATAAACACTCAGTGCTCCTGCTGTGTCCACTATCTACATTACAGAAGACTTGTCCAGCCAATATCTGGACTCCTTAGAGCTCCTCACTCCTGAGCAAAGATCTCTGATGCCGGGGATGATAGTTGTTAAGAGGCTGATTTTGAAAGACTGGAAGTCCCCCTCCCTCACTTCTTTTCTAATACGGTGTCAGTCATATAAATGGAAAAGCAGAATCTGGAGGTCTGACTTAATAAGAACATTCACAGCTATCTGTGGGCCTCCTGCAGAGGGCTGATGTGTGATTAAAACAGACTTTGTCTATCTTGTTTTGCTCTTTTTCCTAGAAACTCGATACACAGACAGTCCATTAAAGAGCTCTCAGTTTGATTTGTGAGAAATTTCTTTTATTGACCTCTGATTTCAAACATCTGTCTCATCAATTACAGTTGCCGAAAGCTCTGGCACAGCCTGTCAGCTGGGTGTTACCAGACCAATTTAACTTGGGAAATGGGTCTGGGTTTGCTCCATTCATTTCATTTTTCCCGGAGCCACTAGCAATGGTCGAGTACGAATGAAGGCGCCTCTGGGAGCAACAGTACAGACCCCCAACAAATCAGATTAATGCAGCCAAAGAGCGCACAGCAACAGAAATGTAAACAGACAGCAGCATGAAGAGGGAAGAAACATGTCAGCTGGTTGATAATCACACATCATTCAGTTAAAGTCCCACTCTGATCATTTATTTTACTCCTTAGTGTTCTCAGTGGTCTTTAAATTGTGATTATGAAGTTTTTATCCAAAATCTCATTACCTGTGTCATTTTTAAGGACTTTTCTTCCTCAGAGCTCCAGTAGCTCATGAGCAATTCACCTTTGAGTCGTGGGCGGAGTCAGCGCTGCTCTGCACACTCTTCTTCATGCTAGCTTGTAGCCTAACATTGTCAGTGTAGTAGAAGAAGCAGGCACATGCTTGTTCCACGATTGTCCTCTCTACTTCTCAGAGTCTGGCCAGCATAGTGGGACTCCGGGGGCGGAGCTTAGATTTGTGACATAGGAAATCTCACTGTTTCTGAACCTGTTGTTTGGGTCTGCCAGAAATACTCAGAAATACAATTTTACACTTCTTTTTCTTATGATCTGTCCTGTAGCATCAGAAAAATGATCATATGAACATGTAGACAACAAAATCATTTTGCGTGATAGCAGATGCAGACCAGAGAAATAAACATGACCTGTAAAAGTCAAGAGCTGAGTGACATAAAGATAACTTCATTAACTTAATAAAGGTAATTCACTGGATTATAATATACGTGTTATCATTGTAATATCTAAGAATAAACATTTGAACATGAATTATGCAGGTAAAGCGACACGCTGCTGTGACGGTTAGCCAGCTAGCTAAGTGATGAGACTTCTTCTCTTTGTCTACCTCGGTTTTTTTGATGGATGTCAACTTTAGTGACCTCTGTCACCCCCTACCCTGAAAAAACTGGTTATATTATATAACAGTTTACCTGTTTCAAGTACAATATCAATATTTCATATTATAGAGACATAGTTTAGTTTAGTTTAGTTTAGTTTGAAGTTCACCAGTGTTGGTGTATTATGACAACCCTAGTCTGAAATCTGTACCAGTGATAGTTCATTGACTGTGATTTTGCTGGAGATGAAGAGTCACTATGAGCATTTTGTTGGGAGATAAATTAGCAAAATTAAAATGAACGGTCCAAAAATTGTTTTGTTTTTATTGTGTCAAGTAGGGCTGGGTGATAAAATGATTATGATATATATAAAAAATTAATGTCTATGTAGATGCTCATTGAAAATTAATGTCCTTCGATATCGATATCGATATGTAACATGGTCAAGATGCTTTTCACTCGTCGGCATTCTGCCATGTTTTGGTTGACTATACGAATAGCCAATGAAAAAGGGAGTTGCTCCAGGTCCGCGCCGCGCTGAACCGAATATTCAGTCCAATTTCTCTCACGCAACGCCTTACGACAAAACGTCAAAGAGACACAAAGACCTCACAGATGCAGTAGATTATTGTATTGAAAAAAGACATGCTGCCAATAAACACTGTTAAATTTCATTTAAGAGTAACAGGGAACATTTAAGATTGACAAATTATTTTTTTTATATCCTGATACATATTGAAATCGACTGATATGAAAAAAAATACATCATAATAAACTTTTTCCCATATCGCTCAGCCCTAGAGTCAAGTCAAATGTTTCTTTTGAGCTCCATGTTGGAAATCTGTCATCTGGACCTGACACTCTTATCAAAAGTATCGCCAAAGAAAGTTTGACATGAAGCCTTTGTGGTATTTGTTTAGTCTATTTTTTTTTAACCTAAGTCAATAAACTCACTCAGTGGCCCTTTATTATTGTATCACTAAAGTCTGCCTTCTTTATATAAACACTCGTCCTGACACTGGAGGGTTTTCCCACGCCCCCTAACTCACTCTTTAAGTCTGTCTGAAAGTGCTCCACGGGTTTTCAGATCAGTGTCATCCGCTTTAAGAGGATTTTCTAAGTATATTAATGGTGGAGAAGAAGAACTACACGCTGCCATATTTGGAGAAAAGAGAGTCTGACATGTTGAAATGAAATCCTTTCTAAGAGAGTCTCACAATAAAAATATTAAAGTCGAGGATTGACTCTGTATACGTCTGAATCCTACAGAAACTCATTAACCCTTAAAAAGTCACAGACAGTGAAGAGGTCTGTCAGTCTGAATTACAGACAACATTTTTTCTTTTTCTTTTTTTTACATTTCCCTCATTAATCAGAGCTCCAACAAAACCTGACAGCCGAGGAGCAGCAGCTCTCAGCCGCGAGTCCACCGACCAACCGACCAAACCAACACATGGCGGAAATGATGTTTTTCTTTTCGAGTGGAAATGAGGTTACTGATCTCGAAGCTTCTGTGTTTGTGGTAACAATGTAAAGCACGAGCGCACACATGGATGGACTTTAACTACACACACACACACACATACACACACAGAGACACACTCGGTGCTCATTTGCAGGAGTGAGCGCGCGCCGATGTGTCCGAGCTGGCGCGCGCCTGTTTTCAGCACCATGGAGAGCAACACCCGCTCAAGAAAAACGACAACAAACCCAAAGAAAGAAAAAATCCCGTTTTTATGCACTGGGTTTGGTTAGGAGACATGCTGATACGCAGAGAGCAGCCCTGATAAATCCACTCACATGTGCTGCTGACAGTTTATTGTTGTGTCCAAAGTGTGAGACTCAGTCATCGACTTGTTTGCAGACACAGAGCCACACATGAAGCTCTTGTTGTTTTTTCTCTCTTGCTGTGATTTCTTCTTCCTGTCAGGTAAACGCAGCACACTTCAGCTCCACAGCTCATCAAGGAGACGTATAAAAACAACTTGAATCAAACAGGTGTGGATGTGATCCCATCAAGTGTTTCTCTTCCCCTCATACTTGACTGAAGGTGTGTGTGCTCGGCATTTTAAGTGTCAAGTTTATTTCCGATTGGGCGGCTGGTCGGACGTATGTCAGACATATGCGCGCCGTGGGCGGGTGTCGACGTGTTTGTAAAAAAAAGGAAAAAGGCGGAGGGGAGAGCAGCGAGCGGCTCAGTGTGTGGATCCGCGCAGATAGGTGATGGTTAGTGGAGATGTGAGTGGCGTCGGCCGCAGCTCTCCAAAGCTGTAGGCTTTGGCTGGGAGAGGCGTGGCGCACTCTGCCCCTCTGGACCCAAAACCACCTGTATGGATGACCAGAACTACAGTGTGATCCAGACGCCTTCGCCCTCCGGGATCCGGGGCAGCGACGCCGACACAGGGAGCCGGGGTTATGAGGTGGAGAGGAGAGACATGACGGTGGAAAACATGCTGGAGGAGTCCGCCGTGCTCTCGGCGCCTCACCTGTCCGTGGATCGATACGAGCGCAGCCGTCAGGGATGCTGCGAGCGGGTGGTGATCAACATCTCGGGTTTACGCTTCGAGACGCAGCTGAAAACTTTCAACCAGTTTCCAGAGACGCTGCTGGGGGATCCGAGGAAAAGGATGCGCTACTTTGACCCACTGAGGAACGAGTACTTCTTTGACAGGAACAGACCCAGCTTCGATGCCATCCTCTACTACTACCAGTCAGGGGGGCGCATACGGAGACCTGTTAACGTCCCCATTGACATTTTCTCCGAGGAGATCCGCTTCTATCAGCTCGGGGAGGAGGCCATGGAGAAGTTCCGAGATGATGAGGGGTTCATTAAAGAGGAAGAGCGCGTGCTGCCCAAAAATGATTTCCAAAAACAGGTTTGGCTCCTCTTTGAGTATCCCGAGAGCTCGGGGCCAGCCAGGGGCATCGCCATAGTCTCGGTTCTTGTCATTTTGATCTCCATAGTGATTTTCTGCATGGAGACTCTGCCCGAGTTCAGGGACGAGAGGGACCAAGCCACAGTGGCACCCACGATCAATGGCACTGCCCCCCAAGTGCCGAGCCCCTTCACGGACCCTTTCTTTGTCATCGAGACTCTGTGCATCATCTGGTTCTCCTTCGAGCTGCTGGTCAGGTTCTTCGCCTGCCCCAGCAAAACTTGCTTCTCCAAGAACATCATGAATATCATCGACATCGTGGCCATCATCCCCTACTTTATCACTCTGGGGACCGAGCTGGCCGAGAGGCAGACCAACAGCGGGCAGCAGGCCATGTCCCTCGCCATCCTGAGGGTGATCAGGCTGGTGAGGGTCTTCCGGATCTTTAAGCTGTCTCGACACTCAAAGGGACTTCAGATTCTGGGTCAGACCCTCAAAGCCAGCATGAGGGAGCTCGGCTTGCTCATCTTCTTCCTCTTCATCGGAGTTATCCTCTTCTCCAGCGCGGTTTACTTTGCGGAAGCAGACGACCCCTCGTCCAGCTTCACCAGCATCCCAGACGCGTTTTGGTGGGCTGTGGTCACCATGACGACGGTGGGGTACGGAGACATGCATCCGGTGACCATCGGGGGGAAAATAGTGGGGTCTTTGTGCGCAATAGCGGGCGTGCTGACCATTGCCTTACCCGTGCCAGTGATTGTGTCCAACTTCAACTACTTCTACCACCGTGAGACGGAGGGAGAGGAGCACCCTCAGTACGTCCACACGGGCAGCTGTGAGCACCTCCCCTCTGAGGAGCTGAGGAGGTCCTCGTGCAGCTCCTCATCACTCAGTAAATCCGAGTACATGGTGATAGAGGAGGGCATCAACAGCGCCTTCAAGCAGCCCAACTTCAGCACTGAGAACAACCAGAACTGTGTGAACATCAAAAAGATCTTCACTGATGTGTGAACGGACCGAGCTGAGGACCGTTCATGGAGCATGAAGACACTGTAGCGACCATATTATTTTTATATTTAGCCAATCGTAACGTGTCAGTCCATATCTGTGGGTGAGCGCTGCACAAAAATGTCTCTTTCAACAAGTTTCAACATTTTAATACCACATGTTTCCAGTGTATTTTCGAGTATTTCTTACGAGTATTAATAAGACCTCTCCAGGGGTGGAAAGTCACTAAAATTACATTTACTCACGTTGTTGTGACAGAAAAGTTTGATTAATTTCCAAAATATTTACTTTTACTTCATATTTTACTTTTTTGAAAGTTTCTGACCACACAGAATCACTTCGAAAAGTGAAAAAAAAAACGAAACTTAAGCTGTCAATGAATTGCATAACAGGCAGCTGATTGGATGATGTTTAAAGTACACTACAAAAAAACTACATCAAATTTTACCAAGTCAATTCGTCCAACTCCAAATTTATCATGTTTATGACAGGACAGGTCCAAGTTTAAATCTTAGTCCAAGCCAAAATGTTCTTTCTTGGTACTTTTGAGTTAGTGTTACATCTTATTTTGAGAAAGTTGTCAAGAATTCTTTGCAGGCCAAACCAAAGTTATTTAAAGAGATGGTATAATGCTTTTACTATCACGTGTAAAGTTAAAATGTTGTCAACACTCAATGAGGATGAAGTACTCCTACAGGGGTGTGACCAAAAGCTCTGAATGGCACATGACTTGACCAGTCCATGAAATCACGGGTTAAAGGATCTCCTTCAGAGACCAGAATAAATTCACCTCCACTTTATGGAACTTTAACAAACTTTCTGGGTCAGATTTGTTGTGGAAAACATTTGGCCATAGTTCACCCAATCACAATGACTTTGTTATGGCAGCAGTGGACTCTAGCTGAAGTCGAGTTTTTAAGACAGACTTAAATTTACCTGTTAAAGACTCTGGCCTTGAATTAGCAAAGAATTGTTTCAGTCCTTAATGGTGTCAAACTACTAAAGCGTTAAAAGGAAAATATGAAGCCTGAAAATTAGAGTAGTACCTCCTTGTTAGGCCCTGAATTTACTCTGGTAATTGCAAGCCTTCACAAAAGCTCTTTAAGGGACGAGTGTTGAAAATTAGCATATTCTGCTATAAACACTGACACCTGCGTGGAGAGGCTGCTCCCAGTTTATCTGTGAATATTGTCTCTGTTCCAGACAAATAAACCATCAATACATGAAAATAAATTAATAAATCAATAAACCTCTCTATTATAAACCATAAACAAAGTAACATAAGAGAGTGCAAAATTTTCAGTACTCTCCCCACCCTGGATGGATACGGAGTCAAAATCACTTCACCTATGAATGCTGTCAGATCTATTACAATAACTACGGTAGTTTGGGGATATATGTTTATAAGCTACATAAATTGGGGGTTTATCATTTTCCCCTCCACCCCAGCTGCCTGAGGGTCAAATCACTAAGGTACTTTTTACTTTTACTGAACAGACTGGCAGTTTATGTAGATGCCACTAACCATACTTTAATTTTAGAGAAATATCTTCGTGTCTTTCCACTCGTGGACCTCTTTAAAAAATGGAAACATGTCGACAGAAAAATGAAAACTCTTGTTCTTGTTCAAACCGACATTTTTTGCAGTGTATAGTGCCACTCGATGCCTACATATCTTGATGTTAATGCGAAGTTGTTGATGTTCTGATTGGGAGTACACGTGTAGCATAGTCTACTATATTTGCATTTACCCGCCAGTCTTAAAATCCACGTCTCGTGCTTCGTGGGAAGAAAAGAAGTGTCGCTGTCCAGTACCGTAATGACTAGACTATGGTTATCCATATAGTCCAAATGCCTGTTTAGGTTATATTTGATATCATAACCTGTCGAGATGTCGGACTCTGAGTCTTGTTCAGATTGTTCTTCAGGTAATAACACACACAGTGGTGTCCATGGAAACGCTTATCATGATTAATAAGTCGAGCTTTTTCGTAAAACTGTATTTTTATTCACAACTGCCTCTATAGCCTCTATGAAATAAACTGGAGATGAAGTGATCTTGACTTTAATCTTCTTTAATCTGAACCTTTAGCTTTAATAAACGCCGCGGAGAGACGGGAGATGAAATATGGATGAGGTGTGCGTGAGGAGGAGTCACGTGCGCGGTGACAGGAAAAGGAGGCAGAACGTGCACGACGTCCGGCCCCCTTTTCTCGTGCTCGCTGAACAACGCCTTGTGATGCAGTCTCCATGACGACGGTGGTTTCCCGAGTAACCCCCCTCTAATGTTGCCATGGCACCGAGCTGCCTTTTCACTTTCCAACTGTGGTTCACACTTTCACCTGTGTGTCCTTGAAGGAGAGTCATGAGTGTTTAAACAGCAGACAGTCAGAATAACCAGAGCGTCAGTGAACAGCCTGTTTCATGGAAACGACTCGTCAGATGTGTAAAAATACTCCTGAAAAGCAGCTTTTGTCTGCGTGCATCTCCTTCTTTGTTTCAGTAGAAAGAGCCCCAGCTGCTCCGTTTGTCTGATCTGAGCTTCATTCTGAGAGTTGGCATGCCAACGAGATGTGACGTCGACCACTTTTCATCCCCCCCGCACGTGCGCATCTCGCTCCAAGAGCCTCAGAGGTGCGAGTGTCAACAAACAACCTCAGGAGTCCAGTTGTAAACGAAAACACTGTCGAATATCCTCATTCAGATTATGTTAATTATCTGTGTGTACAGAGGGTTAACCCACATTATTCATGATCCTCTGAATAATATCAGTTTTTTGGATTTTATCCTATTTTATTGTATTTTTAATTCAGTTTATTAGTATCAGTTAATGGTCTAAGTACACAAGTTTATTAGTTTAATCAAAGTATAGTTATCCCTGTCAGTTATTAGTCCTTTACAATTATACATGTCTCAGTCATATTGCTGTTTGAGTACTTGCTGTTAAAAATTCTCAAGTTTTGAACTACTGTTTAAAAAAATCTCAACATTTTATATTTTTTCAGTGTTTTAGTGCAGTTAAATAATGTTTATTTGGAAACTGACACGCTCTGATTTCTAGATTTGCAGCTCCAAAATAATATCTGCAACGATAAAAACAACCATCCTTAGAACAAAAACAACAGCGAAGTAACAACAATTGCAGAAAAAGAAAAATTTGTTTGTGGATCTTTTCTTTTTCTGCAAGAAGTATTTTTCTTTCTGCCTTTGTCGTAATTTTCCCTGTTGGATGCACACTGTTGAAAGCTGTGATGAAGTTCATTTGTGAGTCATTTTTTCAATTCAAAGTCTAGACAAAGATGAGAAAATGGCACCAAAAATCTGTCCTTATTTACCTTCAGAAAAAAAAGCATGGTAGCTGCAAATGTTACCTCTTGTTGTTCATGAACTGGTCAGTCAGAGAACGTTTATCACGCTCTTTAGGCGCGCTCTGGTTTGACATCTGTACTCTGTGATTCATGAACTACTTACTGTGTCGTGTAAACAGAGCTGATGTTGTGCTTCAGTCAGGAGTGAGCTCATGATTTTGTTTTTGTTGTTGAATCAACACAAAGGGCTTCATCACTCTGAAAGGCTCTACTGCCCTCTAGTGGAGTAACTCAATTATTACAGCTAGGACAGACTTGGGTGCTGGAGTTATAATCAGACTGAGATCCATCTTTGTACCATGTAGACTCCTGCAGCTTGAATTAATTTCATTTGACCCTTTTTTACCGCTCTGAAACTCACCAACACTCACCTTTGTTTTAGTTGTTTAGTCTGAACACGACGAATGCTCTCCTGGATTTGATCATTCAGAAATTACAAACTCATGAAGTTTCAGAAGTCTGGAAATCACCTTTTCTAAGTTTCAAGAGCCTCAGTCTAGATGGTCATAAACAGTCTGAATGATTGTTGGTGCGGGAAGTTCAAGCAGAATACTGAATACTGCTGCAGCTTTTTCAGGAAGCAGACTGATGATAAGTTAGACCACTCATTAAAAGCACCTGCTGGAAAAACACAGGTATGACCATTAAATGCATCAACCTCCACTGTTGTGGTCTGAAATAAAACATCCTTTTTGTATCCACAGAAAAAAAAAATATATGACAATTATAAAATATTGAACAGCAACCTGGACAAACCATCTCATCGGACGTAAACCATGATGAGAAATCAGGCATTTTATTGTCCTTTAACGTTCTTTGACTCATCAGAGTTATGTGAATTTTTATATTTGTTCATACCTCGCTCGTATATCCCAAACAAACATCTTAAAAACATGATATGTTTTCAACTTCGTGACACACAGACAGAGTTTTTCTGTTTATTTATTAGTTTTGTTCGGCTGAGAAACAATCCCATCAATCTTTGACTGCAGGTGTATTGAACTGTGTAAGACCGGATGGATGGATGAAGGGATTATTGGATTGAGGGAGGGGTAGATAGATGGATGGATGGACTTCATTGATCCAAAACTGGAAAACGGTGGTGTTACTGGTCTTCAGGGCGGACCTGAGAGTGAGGTTCACAGTAATTAAACCCCAGAAAGAAAAATGTACACAGAGAAATAAACCACACCACAAAAACAACTCCATCAAGACCCTTCTGGTAAAAAGAAATTATATATTTTCATGCGCTGGGTTATATTTGGCTTACACCTCCCCTCACTTTAATGTAAACACATGAAAAACCAAGGCGGGGAGAGAGGCAGCAAAGATCCCAGGACTCAGAACAGAGCAGGTATCAGTGACGAAACATGAGACTCTGAAATAATCAGATACAGCATGAAAACAAGGAGCTGAGGTGGAGGAATGCAAACAAACTTACACAAAAGTATTATAAGTTTATGACAGTGAGCAGAGTTTAGAAGTTCTAACTCTGTGTGCGTTGGCGTTTTGTTGAAGAATGGCTGAATTCGGGTTTGTCTTTAATAACTTTCCAGATTCTTCTTCCGTCAGGCGTTTTGCTGACCCATTATTCTCGTGTTTCCCAGGAGGTAAAGAGTTTTAGTCTGTGGGCAA